TCCACCTCTGTTATTGTTTTGTGAATCAAATAACCTAAGAAATATTGCAAACATACAATATGAAAAAAAGTCCACCAACAGTTGACATTGATACTAGTAATATAATCTTTAAATTTCAAAAAATTAGATTTTCAAAGAACATTTACAGCAAAAACTGTTGCATCGAGACTTCAATGTTCAAAGGAAATAGTTGGGATTTAGGTTTTTCTGCGACTTGGGGGCGGAGCTTGATACTAATCAGCCAATGATTGAATACGTTTTCGAAGATTGAAAGGAAGAACATAATCCAGAAAAACTTCAAAACAAAGAGGTTGCGATGCAACGATTTCCGCTGACATAAGGGTTTAAGCATCACTTTTACAACAAACGGCTAACAGCAGAGCTGAACCAATGACCTAAGAATTTTCGTGCCTGGCCATGTGCTTTACATGTAGGTAGTCATTGGAAAGAGTGACTTTTGCATGATTATGGCAACCTCAAAATAATCAACTTTCGCAGGTCACGTGATCTTTTCTGTCATTTGCAGTTTGCCGTGAATGTCATGCTTAAGTTCTCTAATGTCATTGACTGATGAAGGATTATCCTTGCAAACTTAGAAGAGCTTGAGTAGTAGCTCTACATTCTACTTATCGCACATTTGGGATCCCTGTGTACATTGTTAGTCATGTGATATGCTGTGTGAAGAAAACCGTGTTGCAGAAAGTGAAGTGCTGTAAGATTTTTAACTGTTTTATTTTAGTTTTTATTTAGTATACAGTACGCATTTAGTGGGGTATGGATATCATTGCTTGCCTCAATACCCCCTGCACATAAAAAGCTTCTAGCTTCCCAAGGATGCTGTGCAGTTTGTCAGCCAATGAAGGTGAATTTAAACACACGTATGAACATTTCTATATGCAATCATTTACCTATTTGCATTATTTCGTTCTCGTCCCGCTTCATCCAGTCTATTATTTGATCCCCTGAAAATCAACAGGAAAATATCTGTGAATAGATTAATTACTTAAAGTATTACCTTACCCTTTTCACGTTCAAACAGGCAAGAAGTCATGTAATTTCAAGGCCAAATTTCAAAAGA